TCAAGTTGTAGAAGACTAAGTCTCAAGAATAGCAAATAAATTTATAAACACTGAATAATAACAAGATGGCAAAATAGGAGACTTCCAGATACTTAATTATAAAGTCACTGAAATAAAAGTATGTGATATTGACCCAAGAATATATAAATTTATTAGTTATATATGATTGAGCATTCACAGAAAGATCTAGTATTTATGTAGTTTTAATCAAATAAATGAGGAAGATTTGTTAATTTAAATAATATTGCTATGGCTGATTGTCCACCTAGAAAGAAACAGAATTGGATCCTTCCTTTTTCTTTCCACCTAGAGAAAATGGAGTTGGAATCTTATTCCTTTTTTTAAAAAAAATATTTTGGAGAAAAATTTAAGATATTTATGTAAATGTTCAGAGAAAATCTTTCTAAGCATAACAGGAGTCTCAGAAACCATAAAAAGAAGGCTAGATACATTTGTCTATTTTAAAGTTACAGTTTTACATGGCAAAAGATATTTTATACAAAGTAAAAAGAGAGATTCAAAAATGCATTTATAAATTAAGTGTGGAAAAGCTTATGTTTTGATTAAAACTAGTTATTGAAGAAACATCACATGTACAATTAATCTGTGGAATTCAGAGGATCATCTCACTGTATATATGACTGAAAGAAGTTTCAGACTTTTTCAACCTACTGGAAGAATTCCGAAGTAAGATTTATGCTTTTATTACTCAGAAATGTTTTTCTGATAGCTCTAGAAAAATATGAAAATCACTTCAATTCTTCATTTTTAAAATAAATAATTCAGAATGGTACAATTTGGAAAAATATAAGAAGTGAAATAGAGGAAAAAGTACAAAGGCAGTATACAAAATAGTTAATAAGATATCAACATGTTCCCTCCTGAATTTTGTTTTTTTGTCAAAAAGACAGTTTAGGTCAACAGGCTTGAGCTTTTGACCAAGAAAAAATTCTAGAAATGTAAGTCATCAGAGGAAACATCCTGTTTTTCAGTCTTCACCATTGAAATGAAAAAATGGGATTCTGAAAAATACAAAGTAGCCATGCCACAAGTAAATGGCCACTTCTGGACTACCCATAAATCATGAACAGAATAGAAACATTCTAGGAACACATATATTGTTTAACTAGAGTGTGTTTTAATTAGTGGAAAAAAAGCCTGTAGCATCTCTATCAAAGGAAATCAGAAGAAAGAAATCTTAGCAAAACTGCTTTCTCAGGAGACCATGGTAACTGTGAGCTCAGATCATCTGTACTTGGGAGAGTGGGGTGAGGGAGATCATTCACTATTGAAAGCCTTCAGTGGATAAAGGCACTCAATCTGTCCCAGATGCATTTCATTAAAAGAAAATAAACTAGTTAATATTGCCAACATCAAGTTCACTTAAGGTAACAAGTGAGCGATATTTCTGATGGTCTGTCCCTTTAACAAGGGACATGTTTGTCATCAGAATGGCAGAAAAAAAAATGACAGAAAGTAGCAAATGTTAAAGATGTGGAACAATCAGAGAACTCTTTTATCTTGATGAAGTGTAAATTGTTACAACCATAGCGAAAATCTAAATGGCAGTTCTAAAGTTGAGTGAATGAATTCTTACAACTCAGCAATTCCAATTCTAGGTTTTTATGGTCAGCAGGAATGCGTATGCATGTTCACCAAAGAATGTGCTCAGAAATGTTCACAGCAGCACTTTTCATAACAGACCCAAACTGGACACTGCTAACTAGCTTTTATCAGCAGAGTAAATTAGTAAATTGTAGCATATTTACCTAAAGGAACATTCTACAGCAATAAGAATGAATGAAATTCATTTACATCCAACATGGAAAATTCTGCACAACCATGGCTAACTCTTGCAAACATAGTATGGAAGAAAATAAGTCAGGCATGAAAGAATATATGCTGTTTGATTCCCTTTATATATAAATCAAGAAGACACAAACTCACCTATGGCATCCATTACAGACTGGGGCAGTCTAATATCCTGGAAAAACAACAGCTTGATTTTTATCTCAAGACCAGAGGCCATTGTTGCTCCTGCTCTGGAGACTGGTTTTCATACACTTGGCTCTATTTCCCAATTTTGTGAAACATCCAGTGTAAGAATATTGTTAATTTGAGAGAGATCATCTTGTAAATCACTTGACTGCCCACCGTAATTTCAACTTTGGAAAGCCTTTTTGCAAAGTACTAGTTTATGACTCACAAAGGACCAGCAAAGTGAACTTCCAATAAACACTTTGAATGTGAATGAGTTATCTGAGTGCATGCCAGAGGATATTACACTTTAGACACTTAGCTAAGCACTGGCTAAGACAATAGGTAACTTGTTTCTTCCTTCTAAAGGTGTTAAACTCTCTTCTCAATATAATGGATTTTTAACTACCTTGTCCTCAGCTACTCAGAGGTTGCAAAAACCCAGGGCTGTGCCAAACAGATACATGAAGGTCAAAAGGTCAGGAACAATAGCTGGAGGCAGCTGAAACCCAGAGAGGACTGCCAAGTATGGAATGCTAGAAAACAGAATTGGAGAGGCCAAGTTGGCAAGAGGAATCAAAGAATGAAGACTCTTTAAAAGAGTGACCTGCTGTGCACCAAAGTAAGTTGGTAGAAACATACAAATATGATTTACCAACAAAAGGCATTCACTTTGCCCAGGTTTTTGACAATCAGAAAATATTGCAAGTGAAATGTTTAAATGTGTCTCTATTTATATGCATGAGGAGAGTAAAAGGAAGCCTGAATTTTTGATCATCTCATAAAGAATAATGAAAATATGTATATACAACTATAAATAGATACAAACACATGTGATACATGTATACATATGCAGATGGATATATACATATGGTACATAAATATAAATATATAATTGTTATCATTTTCCTCTTCTCTTTAGGGTAGAAGAGCTCTTCTGCAATTAGGAGTCATAATTTAGGTATTTTTATATGTGACACCCAAAATGCCTGGCTTACCGTGGGCACCTAAAAACATCCATAAACAATAAATAAAGTGTTATGCAGACATAAGGAGCTTCTTGACTGATCACTGAATAATCCCAGACATCTAAGGTTTTATGTTACAGTTTTGTGTCTTTCTTCATTGTCAGTCACCAGATTCTGTTTTTAATTTAATTAACACAACACATCTTCAACCTGGAGTTTTGACTCATAGTTCCTAACTCTACTCTGAGAATCTGAGGATTTCCCCTCTCTCTAGATTAAATCTATGAATTTTTGCCATCTTTAAACCTTACTTTGCCCTTTATGTGAAATTCACAGAAATAGAGGAAATTTATAATCTCTAATAAGTTCAGTACCATATATAGAGTATAAGCTTAAACTGAAATGGAAAAAAAATCATAGTTTTTTTTAATAGTATCTTTAAAACACACTGTCATATCTTACTATTCCCCTTAAGTATACATGAATTTTTAGCAAAATCAATAAAAGCATACTTGTAATATTTCACACTTACTTTTGAATATAACATACTTTCTTGCCAATAATATACTTTTATAACAACACTTAAATAGCCAGAAATATTCATGATTTCAATGCAAGTATTGCACTGTATTAGCTTTAAATTTCTGCTTGAAATATTTCAAAGATACATAAAACTAATTTATTTACAATGATTTAGTAAATTTTGGCATTTTTACCAATGAAAAACAATTTTAAATATTATGATGCTGTCAAGATTTTATTTAAATTAAGTCAGATACTCTTGAAACCACTGCCATCATGGTAAACCATACAAGCTTTGACTTGCATTTGATATGGATTTCAATAATGCAGTAAACTCTTATCAGCAGAATGATTTGGACATACTACTTAACATTTCTGAGCCTCTTTTTGTGCAAAAAGTTACTGTCAATACCTAGTTCACAGTCTGTGCCAAAATTGATCATTAGAAATGTCCACTACATTGATTGGCACAAATACTGTATGGACATTATCATTATCAATAAAAGCAAACAGCAACAAGATGATGATAAGTAAGAATATCCCTGGTTTTGAAAGCTAACAATCTGAGTATCTGCTGAGATTATGGGGTCTTTGAGGTAATCCTTGGTTAGGAAGCAAAGGTTCAGGAGTTATGCCTGGGACACGGGTCAAAAGATACATCTCTCCAAGGCTAAGAGAAGATACTTTGCCTTTATGTTTTGCCAGCTTCTGAGTGTTCACAAAGTGGAGTGGGACAATTCTAATGGGAATTGGTGCGAAAAGTGGGTGAGGAGACTGCCGAACCACAGAGATCAAGGAATTGGCCCAGGATGAAGCCCTGGGGATAGTCTGGGTTTAGGCAGTAGGTAGTAGGACAACGTAGTTTTTGTTTGTTTGTTTTTTGTTTTCCCAGTTTCTTTCTTCTAATAGTGCCAAATCTTCAAGTTGGTTCTCAGAATTACACCTAAATCTCTATGTCATTGAATTTCAGTTCAATCCCAAAACTCATCATTGGGTATGAATTGTACAGGGAGAATGAAAAACCGGCCTCTACCTCAGAGCAAAGCCTGTCCAAGGAAGGGACATGACCTTAGTCCTTGGAAAAACCCACAGAGCACTCCTAAGCACATTCCCACCCTGCTAAGTTGTTTATCTACAAATAACAGGAGAGATCTGCTGCGCCAGGTGTCCCTGACTCAGTCAGGCTAGGTGGGGATCCATAGCAGCCCCCTAGCAGCCACCAATCAGCATGAGACAGGGAAATACCTGGGATGCCAGATAACCCTCTCAGTGGTTTATGGTGGTTAATAACAAGTTGGGAAACCATGTAGTTCAGCACGTACACCCCTCTTGGCTCAAACCAATCAGTTCAAACGAATACCCCTTTGTACTGACCAATCACACCTACCCAACTTGTTCCCGCCAGTGAATGTGCTAATCATGTTTTAGAGTTGTTATTTGATTTTCCCGCAGTGTGTGATGATTTGCTAAAAGAGGCTATGATGTATGTGAAGTCCCTGCCCTCTCCAAAAAATGTATAAAAATGCTGCAAACCTTGGGCTCGGGGCCTCTCAGCGTCACCAGTTGCTGTGTGCGTGCGGAGGACGGAGCTAGCTCGCAATAAACACCTCTTTGCTGCTTACATGATCTTGGGTCTGTGGTGGTCTTTGGGGGTCCCGAATTCGAGCATAACAAAAGAGCAGTGATCCTTTCTCTCCACAGAGTGAGCAGAAGAAGTGACAGATGCATCAAACAACAAATGTTTGAAATGAAGCAACAGCCTGAGCAGCTGCTATTGCTTGGTGTCGGCAAGACCCGGAGGTCAGAATTCGAGCCAGCGGCAGTGATGTTTTGGAACATGCTTGAGATGTTACCCTTGGAAAGTTTCCTAGATACACAAGAGACACTGTGATTGTAATGCTGGAGAGAAACCTAAGAGTCTAATTTCCATTAAAATGTGCCATAACAATGTGTATCTGGTGCCACAAAAGTGAGTTTAAAAAAAAAAAAAAAGAATTCAGGGCTTATTTGATTAGACCTGTATGATACACATCAAATGAGTAAGAAGACTCTACCAATCTCAAACACTTCCTTTTCACTGAAGCTTTTCCTCATCCTCCCATGCATCAACTCATTTAATCATAAATTAATTCCATTATTCATTGAATATTTAATCAACATTCCTGGGGATTTTACTATCTACATAAATATTAATTAGGCTGCAGATGAATGATTGAAATTTGCATCGTGGAATGTCTATTACATGTCTACAGTACCAGACAATGGACATACCATGGGAAGAGAAGCAGATGTGCCCCTGCATTGATGGGACTTGCAGAGTAGTAGAGAAAAATGTCGTTAAAATAATGAATGAAGCCAATATTTGAGCAGGAATGGAGGGTGTGACTGAGAGAGCAACAAACGATTATAGCCCAGCACAGTGCCTCATAGAAATAAATGTCACTGTAAAGTCTGGGAAAGAGAAAATTATGTTTAATAAATGAATTTTAAAACATCAGAACTCAGAAAGACTTTTATTATGAGCCATTAAAATGAACTGTTTGGAACTTGGCCATCTCACTTAGCTGGAAAATGTACCCTGACCATGCTTCAGTACCCAGGGGTAACTGATAAAGGTGACAGGATCGTGTATATGGGTGTAGAATTTACTCTTGGTAGGGCCTGAGAGTCATATTGAATTCAGTAACTATTCTCTGTAAACAACTTAAAAGATAGAGGACCTATATGCTTTTATTATTTTTATTCATTTTGTTTCTCCAGGGTGAAAAATCTGCATGATCTTCAGTTGTCTGCATCCTGTGTTTTATGCTTGTGTAAAGAGAAAGCCAATGGAGGCATTCCTCACAGGCAATTTGTTTTTATAGTCTGTGAAGCCATAAAACAACTCCCTTTAGCTACATCTGATTTAAGGTATATATAGCACAGTGCTTTTTTGTTTGTTTGTTTAAAGCATGTCTCTTGGATTTTGTGGGGAGGTGCATGTGAATCTGAACCATCAATGGGATATGCACACATCTGGAGTCCTGGAAACATCTGTAGGTCTCCCAACCTAATTAATAATTGTTTACATAGTAAAATCCCCAAAGGTTCCCTCTGTATCTCTTAAAAATGCTTCTTCTTTCTTCTTGTAGTATGTGGGTTGATATTATATCTGGATTATGTGTTTAACTGGGAAAAAAATAGAGAATTGCAATATGAGAAAAGGCCCTGGGGTCTTTTCAAATTGGTACCCCAGTGTTCTCCTCGAAAAACATGCCAGGCCAGATACATCCTGGGCTCCCTTGTATCAGAGAGTGGCTAATGTTTCAACAGGTCTTTGTCTTTATGTTACAAAGAAGTTGGAGAGGCTGTAGCTATAAGAAGGGCAGAGAGATCAAAGTATCCACATATTCTTGCCTGTAGAATATTTCATTCCTACAACTCTGCCTTTTACTTTATTATGTGATGACTTTAAGGACTTCGCTCATCTTGGATCATCAACTGATGCATATGTACATACATTATCAGCCACTTCACAGTAATAATTCTGTGCATAGTCTCCAGTTGAGTATTTCAACTGTTAATGTTCATACGCTTTTTGATATAATATTTTTCTACACAATGTTGCTTCTAATTATATTTCATAAAATAACTATTCATTTCAGGATGAGCAAATACATGCAATTGAAATTAACTCATTTTTACATATTAAATGACCAACTTACTCCTATTTTGCTCTTATACTTTCTTTTCCTGATGTTATTCTTATTCATGTTTCTAAAAATATATAAAATGAAAATATGAGTTAAACAAAAATTGTGCCTAAGGCACAATTAAATAATGTACTATTGGGCTTTTAGAGTAAAAGTATAAATTAGCATTTTAATAATCCATGTGAAAGCTTATTTACTGAGATATGTACAATTTGGATTTTTAATTTTGTGCAGCTACAATAATATTTGATAATAATATTTATGATGCTTTTATGAACAAGAGTATATTACAAAAATAGATGTATTTTACTATACCTTAATAAAAATGGACATGTACATGTATCATTATTTAAATGTTTATTTTCACCTCTGAGTATATTTTACCAATATTATTATAAAATAAATCATATAACATTTTTAAAAAAATGACTTTGCTTACTTAACAAAGTGGTGAGAAAAATATAATTTTTCAAAGAAAATATCAGATAAGCAAATTTCAAGATTTTTGTGTTGTTCTAGTCATCGCCATTATTGTTGATTATATGAAAAACTTGATTATATGGAAAAAAATACAGGAAGGTTTTGTACTGATACACTACCATGGAGATAATACAAATAACTTCAAAAGCCTTTCTAGAAAAGCAAAAATAGTTTAATTGGTTTATTCCCAAGAAGAATTCTAAATTTATGTATGTCTGAAAATAAGACTAAGTCGTGACTGATTCTCAGTGTCTCTGAAGTGCTCAACTTCTCTGCTTCCCTTGCCACACCCTGGCCAGGATGTCTTCATCTGGAGGGCCACACCTCCCTAGGTGCTAGGTCAGCTTGGACTAATTGAGAAGTGCTCTATCTCTCTGAGAAGTGCTCTATCTCCCCACTGGATTCTAAGTCTTTATCAGGTAACTCCACTTTAAAATCTCAATCTGAAACACTTGTTTCGTCACTGTCCATTTAAAGTTCATTTATGTGCCTTCACTCAATAACATATTCAATTAAATAAGCACACACTTAGTACTGTGTACTGTTTAAAAAACAATGCAATTAGCATCTTCTTCTTTTTTCAGTCATAACATGTAATTATGGAAAGAATTTTCTCCCCTCAAATTTTATGTAGTGAATCCTCGACCCCTAGTACCTCAAAATGTGACTATGCTGTACTTGGAGATAAGACCTTTAAAGGAGTAATGAAATTAAGGTGAGGATCCTACTTCAATAGGACTGGTCTCCTTATCAGAAGAAAGGGAGCCACCAGGGATATATGCTCAGAGAAAAGGCCCCGTGGGGACAGAGGAAGAAAACAGCCATCTGCAAGCCAAGGAGGTACCAGGAGAAAGCAGCACCTTGATCTTGTGATTTTAGCCTCTAGAACTCTGAGAAATAAATTCCTGTTGTTTAAGCCACCTAGTCTCTGGTATTTTGTTATTGGAGCTGTTCTGACAAACTAACCCCCCTCTCCCCCACAAGGGTAATTTTGTTTAGTTACCAAAAAGAAGTTAGCAATATTATAAAATCACTACTTTGCCAGGGAATCAAATTTCCATGTGGAACATATAAGATGGTACCAAAATGGATTTTGAAGAAATCTACCTTCATGTCCTTTTCTCTACTTCTCTAAATCTAGCCCAGTTCATCTATGAATCCTTGTCTCCTGGCCAAAGCCAGCCTGGCTCCCTTCTGTGGCCCTACTGAAGACCTAGGCCCTGCATCACTGAAAACAAATATACGTAATGTCAGAAACTGGCTCTTTTGAACACTATATTTAAAATTAACATGAATATAATTTTCTACTTAAAATGTGCATAAAGGGAAGGGGAAAACATCCCTTGCCTGCTCACCCCATTAGCCACTCACCTTTCTCTTCCTCTCACACTCACACTGACACCTAGGACATCTCACACTTGACAAATTTAAACCTGATTCACATTCCCTTTGTCATTACCTTGTAGTATACTTAGTGTCTCGTGATTGAGGCCAGACCATACACTTTGAAATATGTGACACAGAATTGAATCAACAGCCTAGTTTCAGGGATGTACTCCTTAAATTGCTTGTTAAATAAACTTGGGTCATCTAATTTTTCTTAATTAAATAAGAAACCGTGCACTTGGTCTGCAAATCTAAGCAGTCGGACTGCCTTAGTAGTGGAATTGTGGTTGGAGTTGATAGAGTTTGGGCTTTATTTCTAAGCCATAAGTTGTCAGATCAATCTCAGATCTGGGCATTTTTTCAGTTAGGGTCATTGCAGAATACCAGGTATGAAAATGAGTATCTCACTTTTTGCTACATGTTTTTTCTCAGACACTTTTGGATTTATTTTCCAAATATCAACACCTTCTTAATAAGATATTTATTCAGTTTCCTGTTTTCATATGAAAAGTACTTGGATGTAAATATATTGGGATTATCCCAAATAGTCCTTCATAAAATAGATAAAATTACATTTTAAGAAGAATTCATTTAAACACTTTTGCCATCATCTCAATTGCTCCATAATGATTTTTTAATTTTGTTTTCCACCAAATTTTCGCTCAATTTGGAATAGCCTTTGTATGGGTATGTATCACTGTTCATATGTATGTGTGTGTACAAGTGTTTGTGTGTATACACACATGTGTAAGTATATAATAATGAAATATAATCATATATTGACCCATATATATTTAGTATATATCTAATTTTCACTACAATGGCTTCTGATTCATTAAATGCTATATAATAATCTTAAAATTTTATTTCAGTTTTAATTATCTTATATGAAGAGTTCCACAAAATTCTTATAAGAATATAACACAATTGTGGAATAAATAGAAAGTAATTAATTTTCAAGCTCCTTTGATTTTAAAATGAATGAGAATGATGAAATGAGTCACCTGTTTCATTCTGATCCTAACATGTTTAGGAAGAGGGCTTTTATCATCATCACAGAGAGGAGCCCGGTCTCCAGAAAGCATCTCTGCTTGAGCCCAGATCACTATACATCTGGTTCTTTCTTCTGTCTCTCTCTCATTATGGTCACCAGATTTTAGCTCATCTATGACAATGAATGAAAGCATGTTTTCTAAGACATTCTAAACCATACATCATGGACTC